GGAGTGTGGCCACTCTCTAGACAAAAACCTCACCAACTTGTATCATTTTCCTCTGTTAGTTCATCAATCGTTTCCTTTAATCAGATGATCCAAATCATTCTCTCTCTCTCTTGATCTTTACTCCAAAATAGAAACTCAATTTGATTTTCCAGATTCAAGATTTCGACATTGTATTGTATCAATTTCAGTTTCAGTTCTCACTGAGACTGTGACTATGGCTTCTAAGATCAAGTAAGCATCTTCCTAAGTTTCACTCTCCGATCCTTTTTTTGTCTCTTTATAATTTCGTCGATTCAAATTCCGATCTGGGTTTTATACTTTTTTTCTCTGAGGTTTTCTTCGTTGTTAGAGATTTGGTTATTATGATCGAGTAGATCTAACAGGTCTAGGTTCAGGGTTTAATCTCGTATCTTGTAAGGAATCTATTTGTAGTAGCACATTATCCTTTTTTTATTCCTTTGATTGTATTTTTTTAATCTGGTTCACTTATTTTTTATTTTAATGACGGTTCCATGTCGAGTTCTTAGTTGTTGTCTTTTTCTTGATTTTGTTAATCTTCGTTTTACTTTCTAATTTTGTTCTTTTAAGCCTCCATTGATTCGACTGGTTTTGACATGGGACTACATTCTAGTTCTTGTTCCAATCCAGATACATAAAACTAGAAAAAAGTTACACTTTGGGATTGGGTTTTTGATTCTTCTAAAATTTTGATTAATGGACCAAATGATTGAGATATTAGAGAGTCACTGGCTCTGAAAGTGTATATGTTTTGATGGACTGCTCAAGTTATTGTGTAACTAAATTATTCACTAGCGTTTTGGACTATTGAAGTTTCTGTTAGTGTGTGTGTATTGAGAATTGTATTCATGATTCTTGCAAATGTAGTAAATTCATGATCGGTTGTTTTTGGTGAAGCAGAACTGGTTTATCCGAAACTACATTGAGAAAATCATCTCCAGCATCTCTAAGAATGCCTAAACTGACTCGGATAACGACTAGATCCGAACCTGATTCTCCTTTACCGACTCAACATTCACGGCTTTCGCTAGATCGCGCTTCTTCTAACTCAAAGTCTTCTACTGAAAAGAGGTCTCCCAAAGTTCCATCCCCACCAGAAGTAAGCGTTGTTGCTGGTCTTAAGTTGGTTTTGTATTGGTATATTATGCTGTGAGAGTTGTTGATATCCATTCTGGTCTACTAATTGTATGTAGAAAACTCAAACACGGGCTTTGAAAGGATCAGAGCCGCAACCTCGACTGATTCAAATCAAGGAAGATTTGAGGAAAGCGAATGAGATGATAGCATTGCTCGAGAATGAGAAAGCTACAGCACTCTACGAACTCAAAGAAACGCGCAAAGAGGCCAAGGAGGCAACTGTAAAACTAGATGAGGCTTTAGAATTTCAGAAAAAGGCTGAGGAGAATTTTGAAATTGAGAAATTCGAGGCTGTTGAGGCGGGGATAGAGGCGGTTCAGAGAAAAGAAGATGAATGGAAGAAAGAACTCGAGAATGTCAAGAACCAACATGCTTCGGATTCAGCTGCTCTAACCCGGGAGCTGGAGAAAGTCAATCAAGAATTGGCTGCAGCTAATAATGCCAAGAGTAAGGTTCTGAGTCAGGCAGATGATGCTACTAAGGTGGCTGCAATTCATGCAGAGAAAGTGGAAATCTTATCGTCGGAGTTAATACGGTTGAAGGCTTTGCTTGATTCAACCCGAGAAAAGGAAACCATCTCCAACAACGAGATTGCTTCAAAGCTAGGAGCAGAGATAGTGGTTTTAAAAAGAGAGCTTGAGAAAGCGAGAAGTTTTGAAGCAGAGGTCAAGGAACTAGAGATGATCATTGAGAGGCTTAAGGTTGAATTAGAAGCTGCGAAGATGGCAGAGTCTTACGCGCACGGTTCAGCTGAGGAGTGGCATAGCAGAGCCAACGAATTGGAGGAACAGTTAGAGGAAGCGAACGAGCTGGAGAGATCTGCCTCGGTTTCTCTGGTGTCTGTGACGAAACAGCTGGAAGGAAGCAATGAGAGATTACACGGTATGGAATCTGAAATTAGTGATCTTCAGGAGAAAATCGGGTTATTGGAGACGAAGGTTGCTAGACAAAAGGAGGATCTTGAGGAATCCGAAAAGCGGCTAGAGATTGCAGAAGAAGAATTATCCAAGATTGAGGAAGAGGCATGGAAACTGAAGAATGAGCTTGAAACTGTGAAGGAGGAGAAGAATCAGACATTAAAGAAAGAGCAAGATGCTACTTCAAATGTTGAAAGGCTCTTGGAAGAGAAAAACAAGATCTTGTCAGAACTGGAAAGGTCGAAGGATGAAGAGGAGAAGAGTAAGAAAGCAATGGAGAGTTTAGCTTCGGCATTGCAAGAAGTGTCGAGCGAAGCACGCGAGTTGAAAGAGAAGTTGTTGAGCCAAGTTGATCAGGATTACGAAACACAAATAGAAGATCTGAAGTTGGTCATTAAAGCAACGAATGAGAAGTATGAGAAAATGCTCGAGGAGGCGAGACATGAGATCGATGTTCTTGTCAGTGCGGTGGAACAAACCAAGAAACAGTTTGAGAGCTCAATGGTAGATTGGGAGATGAGAGAAACCGGTTTAGTGAACCACGTAAAGATATTTGATGAAGAAGTTTCTTCAATGGGGAAAGAAATGAACCGGTTGGGTAATTTGGTTAAAAGGACAAAGGAAGAAGCTGATGCAGCATGGAAGAAAGAATCCGAAATGAGAGATAGTCTTAAAGAAGTTGAAGATGAGGTGATTTATCTCCAGGAAACTCTAAGGGAATCGAAATCCGAAAGCTTGAAACTAAAAGAGAAAATGTTGGATAAAGAAACTGAGTTCCAAAGCGTTGTTCATGAGAATGATGAACTCAGAGTGAAACAGGATGATTCTCTGAAGAAGATCAAGGAGTTATCGAAGTTACTCGAGGATGCATTGGGGAAGAAACACAGAGAAGAGAACGATGAGCTCAGTGAGAGTGAAAGAGAGTATGATTTGCTTCCAAAGATGGTTGAGTTTTCTGAGGAGAATGGTCATAGAAGTGCAGAAGAGAAGTGTTCTAAAGTAGAAACCATGAATGGCATGAACAAGAAACTCGAGGAGGACAGAGAGAAGAATAATGATGGTGATGATGATACAGTTGAAGTTGAACTAAAAATCTGGGAAAGTTGTCAGATTGAGAAGAAAGATGAGAAACCAGAGCAAGAGCCACCAAAAGAAGCAGAGGAAGACACGAAAACCTCACCCGAAAACATGGAAGAAACCGCGAATGGATTAACTGGAGAAGATGAGGTGGT